CCCCTCAGCCGGCGCCGCCGCCGCCAGCCCCCGCCAGCTCCCCAACATGGTGCCGCCCGGCAGCCTGCCCCCGCCCCCCACAGCCAATGGGCGGCCGCCCCGCCTCCCCCCTCTCCGCCCGCCGACCAATCAGCCGGCCGCCTTTCCCTCGCTAAGGGGAGGTGACGCGCCCTCCCATAGGCAGGCTCCCAGCGCCCTCGGCCCCTCGCCTCCAATGGGAGCGGCGGAGGCAGCGCCACCGCCGGCCGGCCAATGGGATGGGAGCGGCGAATAAGCCCCGCCTCCCGGCGGCGAAGGGGCAGGGCCTGTTGCTCCGGGGGCGGGGCCAGAGTTTTGAGGGTGAAGTGAGGGGAGAGGGGCAGTTTTTAAGGTGTATTAAAAATCCTCAGCTCTGGCTGCGTGCGGGACGGGGGGCGAGGATTCCAGTAACGCTACCCAGAGATATTTGGCTTCTGGGAATTGAGAAGTATAACCCTATTATACAGTATTATTACACCATACTATACTCCATATTATATATATATTATGATGGTGGTGTGTGTGTGTATATTACACACAGGCCCCACAACAACAGCCTATACATCCCATTCCTTCTCCACCTTCTCCATTGTTTCTGCTCCAAGGTGCTGCTTCTGATAATTTTTTTGTCCCTTTTGCCCACCCTATTTCCACCTATTCCTGGTAACAGCCCATCAGGTCACAGGAGGTCACTCCCTCCCCCTTCTTCAGGCATCCCGAGGGCACCTCCTTCCACCACCACCACCTCCTTCCACCACCACCTCAGTACCAACCATCCAGGTCTCCCCCTCAACTGCATCATGGTTCTTCTTACACAAGTTTTTGCTCAATTATAAACACAATTTTAATTTTTTTTTTGCTTTATTTGTGTGGGAGAAGGGAGAAGAAATCCCACACGTATACACTTGGAAGATGGTCTCCTACACACACCACTCCATACCATAGATGCAGGTCTGGAGCTAAAGTGGGAAAGGGGCAGTGAGAAGAAGTACAAGGTTCCCACCACAGAAGTTCATGGTGGAGGAAGTGGGCTCCTACGTGACAGCTCCGTCCCTCAGCTCTCCTCCTCTGGGTGGCACGGGAAGGAGTTCACCACCAGGCAGGGTGGGATGGGCTGTTGGGAAAGAGGGGAGCTTGTTGAGAAACACACATCGGTTACATCCCAATCCCTCTGGCTTCCACCCACTCCTGCCCAAGCCAAAGAAAGTTTCTTTCTGTGGCGCTGGAAAGCCATCCCTCGCGGAGGGACAGGCAGGAATTCTTCATCTCACCCATGGATCTAACATTTCCCACGCAGAGCATCCCAGATTTGTTTGGTTGGGAGCATCGTAACGGCACTGCTTTTGTTATCACTGGCTCACTGTGACTTCATAAACGTCATTGGATGCAATACCTTCGGCTACTTTAAGCCTGCAACAAATGCTGCATTAGCAGACTGGCCTGTCTGAAGTGGAAAATAAATATAGTTCTTTCCAGGAATTTTCCTTTCCCCTCCTCCATTTTTTAAGCCTCGGAATGAAAACCTTTTTTAACATGACTTTTAAAAACGCCTTTGGAAAAAAAAAAAAACCAAACCCACATCATACCTAGTACTTTATGACTTCCTGTTCCAAGTGTCACAAGCAAACATCTTCACAGACATCCATACACAGGATGCTTTCCTCGTGCAATGATATTGCTAGAGGCAAAGATACTTAAATATATATATATATTAATAGATTGGTTTCATTGTTATGGGCTGCACCCCTGCTAACTCCTCACCGAATTAAAATTTTAAACCCAGCTACAGTTATGGGTTTCATTATTAATTAGCACATTAATATTTAAGTCTGAGCACTTGACTACAGCTATAGAAACATTAAGAGCTAGAAGTGGCCAAGTGGATTATGTTACGGACAAGCCATGGAGCTGAGGATGGCAGATGGCAGAGGGACCAGGAGAAGACAGGGTAGTCGCGACCGTCTTCTAAAGCCAACATAGCTCCATTATCCCTTGCCAAGGACTCCAGGAAGATCAAGAAAAAGAGCTGATGGAGAAAAAATCTGTAGGTCACGGGAACAAGGACTGTCTCAGGCTGGAGAACAAGGTCTGACTGGGGAACAGCAGTCAAAGGACCGTCTCTAAAGCTGGGGCTGGTGTGGGAAGGACGCCAGAGAGGCTGTTAAATAATTCTATCTGCTCCAGGAAAATCTCTGCATGCTCAGAAGGAGAAAGCTTTAAATCAACATGCACACTGTCACCAGATGCTGCACAGATCTTCCTATTCAAAAGAGGTGTGTGATCCTGGCAACAGACTGAAATCAGATTTATACAATACAAAAGAAATTCCTGAGTCAAGAACACTACTTAGACCCAGTGAAGCATGTTAAGTGTCGCTTCGCAGAAGATATCTATATAAAATAAAACCATGTGCCAATGGAAACAATAAGCTAAAGTTACAGAAACTATTTCAGACAGGGTGATGCTGAGGTCAGGTATCAAGCACAGGCTCTCGAATGGAAACTCTTCAACTAAATAGGTGCTATCCCCAACTCTGTATTTCTCCCTGCTAGGCAGTGGTGAGAAGAACAGGTATCCATGCCTTGACTTACCTCTGAAGAGGAGTTCTTGGATATTGTGAAACAGGAATGGTGAAAGAACCTGAAATAGTGGGACCAGCAAAGATGAGACAGAGCCTGGGAAAGGACAGGGCAGCTGGGCTGAGCAGCACTTGGGTGCATGGGGTCTATTCCATCTTGCCAGGCTTGGCTGCATCCCATCACATCAGCATGGTGGTTAATGCAACCTAGGGGCCACCCTCCCCACACCTTCCTTGTGGTGCTACCTTTAGGCAAAGAAGGGCCACAAGTTCATTGTTCAGCATAAAGATGCCACAAGAAAGCTTTCGCTGAGACTAGAAAGTGGCAAAAGAGTCCCTCAGTATGTGGTGAAAAAGGCCAGATCCTTAGTACTGGGATCAGATGGATGAGATCCAGACTTTGGACCAAGCATGCAGGTCTCCCAAGCAAGCACAAATGGCAAGTGTGACAAATGATGACTCAGTCAAGGTGACCTAATCTGTTGCCAGCAGGTTTGCTGGCTCCTGAAGGAGCAGGAAGAGCTTGCTCCTCTCTCCTGGGCCTGTCCAGAGGGAAGGACAGCAGCAGCCCTCCCTTTCCAGATCCAGCCTGAGATACTATGCCCCCCAGCTGCTGGTCACTATCAGCAGATGAAGTCACTAGCACCAAATTCCTGCCCGCTGAGAAGTTCTGCACCATCACTCCCTAACGTGCTTCAGGGAAAAATCCCCAGGGTTAGTCTGTAGAGGTGCTGTGAGCTACCTTGGGTGATTTTGCCTGAAGCAGATGAGGAAACGCACGCCCCAACTGCTCCCCAGACAACTGCTGGGCAGAAGAGTTACAGTAAGAAGCTAGATGTGTTCATATTTTAATACAATACTGCACCCTGAGGCATGAAGTTAAAGCAGTTATACAAGAGATTAAGAATCTTTTTATAGTAGTGTCAGGCTTATTTACACAATTAGATTGTAATTTTTATAATTAAATATTTGGAATTATTTTTTTTCTCCAAAACTGTGTTTAACTGAAAAGACAAAAGCATACACTTAGCATTTAAACTTAATTGCTTTTAAATGTCGCTACTAATTAAACAATGCTTATTTGCAGTATAATTGACAAGCAGCCTGAAGATGTTACCTCTCCACCTGAGCAGGAAGGCTGGTAAGGGAATAGCTCAGCAATACAAATTTGCATTGCACAAGCTTATTTTTTGACTCTGTGTGTGTGTGTGTTCCTTTGACAGCCCCACGCCTGGTCCTACCTGTCCTGCTGCCGAATCCCAACCTCATTCCCTGGTGGAGCAGCAGCCAGCCCACCACAGATCCAACCTCCTCCTGGCGAGGGGGAAGAGTCCTGATCCCTGGGAGGAACGAAACAAAGAGCAGTTAAACGAAGCCCAGGTTGGGGTGGGTTTTCTGTGGAGCACAACTCCTACCCTCTGCATCCTCACCACCGGAGGCTGTGTCGGAAGAAGATGGAGAACTTGAGGATCATTAAAATCTCATCACAGCTGCACACACAGACCAAACCTGACAACAGCGCTGGAGCGGCCATTTCAAATCAGTCGGTCCAGTCACCGCAAAAAACAAAATCCAGGGAGTTTAAGGCATTTTTCTGTGCTTTCACATTTTGCATGAAAGGAATGAAAGAGTAACAACGAAACAAAGAGCAGTTAAACGAAGCCCAGGCGTTGGTTGGGGTGGGTTTTCTGTGGAGCACAACTCCTACCCTCTGCATCCTCACCACCGGAGGCTGTGTCGGAAGAAGATGGAGAACTTGAGGATCATTAAAATCTCATCACAGCTGCACACACAGACCAAACCTGACAACAGCGCTGGAGCGGCCATTTCAAATCAGTCGGTCCAGTCACCGCAAAAAACAAAATCCAGGGAGTTTAAGGCATTTTTACCCCCCCCCCCCCCTTTTTTTTTTTTTGGACTTGGAGTGTTTTTAAATTAAGGTGCAAGTCAGGTTTGGTTGTTTCATGAAGGACCAGCAGCCAAAATCAATTTTTGGGAGGTAGAATGTGGCAAATCAAAGCTGTGTGCATGATTCTGGGTATTGTTTAAAAGATGAGGGTTCAGCATAGCCTGGGAAAAAAGAAAGGGAGAAGAGGGGCTGCCTTGCTCGGAAAACGAACTCCACAGTACAGAGATTTTCCTTTTCTCATTAGAAATAATAGAAAAGTTAGAGATGTTGGATCAAAACAACAGTATTCTCAAGCTTCTCATAACAATTCAGGCCCTGTTCAACTGAGAGGTTGAACAAAGTCACTGTACCATGATAACATGCCAGCCAGGCTTTTGTATACCTTTCTTCTTCTCTTGTGTATGTGCATGAGCCTGAAATAATTCAAGATATTTAAATCATAACTAGCTGACTTTAGCCAGTAAGTCACACAGAGGCTCTTACAGTTCTTCCTACCACTTTTTCAGGCTGTCAGCAGAGTCACCTGGATATTTTTTTAATTGGTGCGACTGATTTATCTGATTCCTGGTATGAAAGTCCTTCATTCTCCATGTAAGCCTTCTGAAAGTGTGCTCAGCCATTTTAACAGACATCAGAGCAAAGATCCTAAACACAAGGCTTGAGAACCGACTTGGGGTCAAGATTTAATAACTTAGGAAAAAAAAGTTCCCCAACTTGGCTGCTTACACGTTCTAGGGCTGAAAGAGAGTTGCTTTCATGAAAAAGGCTTCCAATTCATCTCCTGGTGAGATGGGACATCACCCAAACTTACCTAACCTTTATTTAGAAGGAGATATTGATGCTGCTTGTCCTCGACCTCTGTGAGTCAACATACTTCCTTACAGATAACCCTCTTGATGGCTTCCTTTCAGGGCTGTAGGCAACTGTTGTAGAATTTCTCTCTCCCCTTCTGCTCAGAAGGTGGCTGGAGCACCATTTGGTGGCAGTGAGTTCAGGAGACAACTGAAAGGAAATACACCTCTGAACGGCAGCCCTCTGGGCCAGAGTCAGCTTGGCAGTGGGCGAGCCTGCGTTACCCCATCTGCAGCTGGTGGGGCTGAGGATATTGCATCTGGAGCACAACCAGGAAGGGTTTTGAGGGGTTGGAATGGGGAGAGAGCAAGCCCAGCCATTTGGGGGCTAAGCCACTCACATGTCGAGTCTAATCCTATTTCCATGAACGTTTCCAGTCTTGGAAGCTGGATTCTTCCACAAGAATTTTTTTGTCTATAAATACTTTTCATCTCAAAGCTTCTTATGAACAGACATGCTGGGTCTGTGCAGAAATCCCTTCCCCAACTGTTGAGACAGGGCTCCCACTTGAAAACAAAGTGGCTGCTTGGCCATCATCTTACTGCTCCTCCATGCAGCAGCTCTGCTAGGCACATTAAATATTGATCTCAGCAGATGAAAGTACGGAGCTCGAGGGAGAGCTGACATGGCTAGTTAGTTAAGCAAACCCATACTGCATTTTGCCCACCGTCCTGAAATATTTTGAGAGGTGAGATGGTATCTTTAAAGCCCTCAATACAGTAGAGCTTGCACTTCCTCTAGGATGGAAGGCATCTCCAAAGACCAAGCAAGGGTGTAGTGCTAATCAACATTCTTCCAATGGGAAAATAATCCCTGAACACCATGGAGCACTAACTGTGTCTGACCTTGCTTATCCACAAAACCAAGGATCAACTTCTCCTTGCAAACAGCTCTAGCAACCGTTGAGTTTATATGACAACTCATTTCCACTGCATGTTCTGTCCCTGCTCGGCCCAGTCTGGCTCAGTCCTCCCCTTCTGCAGACAATGCAAACTCCACTGCATGTTCTGTCCCTGCTCGGCCCAGCCTGGCTCAGTCCTCCCTTCTGCAGACAATGCAAGCCCAAGAGAATTAAACACATTATCATCCTTGGGGGAAATTAATTAGACCAGGCAATACCAGAGTGAATAGTGCACTCCCAGCACTCAGGTTCACCGTGTATGAGAAACAGGAGTGCTCTCACACTGCCATCATCTCTTCCGTGCAACGCCTGGTTGCACTCCCATCACCAGGAGCCTCCTTCATCACCATCCTTTTATTTCTGATCTTTAACCCTGCACGTAAACGGGGATCCTGTGTTTCAATTAAAAAGGGAAACATCCCTTTTTAATTGGGATGCTCTCTGCCCAGAAATAAATGCAGAACACCAACACATTAGGGAATCTCAAGACACACTCCTAAGAGCCAGACAGTCAGTGAAATGACTTCCAGAAAGAACAAGCAAAACACGAAGTTGTTGCTCTGCATATTCAAAACGCACATTTACAACCCAGACAAACCTTTTTGCTCTTGCATTTTTAAACAATAGACCAGGCTGGAAGGGAAATTATTAGCATCCTGACTTCACCTTGGCATGGAGCAGCTTCCTCCCAATGGTTCTAGCTGTGCAGAAGAAAGTCCTTTGGGAAACTCAACCCATTAAATGTACATTTTTCAGATCTTGTAGAATATTCCTCATCATCCTCTTGTCATTTTGGCAAATGAGCTTTTGTGGGTTTAACTATAAGATTAAAAAAAATTGAATTATTTCTAATAGAAAAGATATAAAGGATTTTTATTTTTTAATTGGACTTAGAAAAAGATGAAACTTTTCCCTGGAAAAAAATTAAAGTCTCCTCTAAAAGATGACGTGAAGGAATCTAATTACTTGCCTATAGTATCAGGAACAACGATGAAGACCTGCAGAATGTCCCTCCACACATCTCCACAGGGTGTCAGTGTTATTTCAAATTTGCATCATTTTACACTGGAATCAAACTAATTTTCTCACCACATTATTTTTATGAGTCTGCTCCTCAGAGAGCTGCTGCCACCACAGCCTGCTTCTCACAGAGCTCCCCCTTTCCTCCCCTAGCCAGCATTAAAATGAAGTTTCTTAAAATGGGGAGATAGAAACACATAGTCACGGTGGCCTGGGGACAACAGGAGGATTTCAGAGAGATTTGAAACGGGGCTGACATTCACCACTCCAAATCTGCTCCCAGTTTGCTGGCAGGATTCCCAGTTCCTGCTGGGTGATGATCTTTCAGCAGGTGATCCAAAGCTCTTTCACACACACCTACCCAGGCCTGGACGTCCTTTTCCTGACGGACACGTAGCCACGACGAGCATCTCTGGCACTTCAAGAGACTGCTGCAACCCATTCTGTGTTTTAAAGCCATTTGAGAGCTGACTGTGAGGCAGAATAAAGCTGTTTAAGTTGCCCCTTGCCAAAAGTCATTTTCCAGACACGTTACTAATATGGCTGTGCTGAAACAAGGTCCCACTGTACTCTGGCAGCCGTGGCAGATGTGTGGTGCGACACACAATATCCCCACCGACCTGTGTACTCCAAGTGACCGCACAAGCCGGCTTCAGTTCTTCTCCAGGGGCTCTGCTAGGATGCCTTCCCAACCAACGCTCCCGTTCTCAGCCGCTTTCTCCGGTTTCCATTGGTCCTTCTACAGTACTTCTGCTCATACAATAGCTCCCCTTTTAACCTGTAATTTTGGGAGAGTTATTGGAGGAACACCTCAGTTGTACGCCCAACAGGGATGAACCCCAGGTCAGGAAGTTTCTACAATTATTAACTACTCAGCGTTTCAATTCTTTATCCTGTTATTCTAAATCAGGCCATTTTTTATTAAGGACATCATCCCAAAAACACTTTTCCTGAAAGCAATACTCCAGAATGTGTTTGCGTAGGCACAGGCAACAAACAGGCTGCATATTGTGTGCTTAGCCCTGCAGAGGACATGCTCTGCCTTAGATATCAGGCAGTACTTTTAACAAACAGCCACGTTTTCCAGTAGAACCACCAATTTCAGTTGCCCCCATCACACTTCTCACCATTTCTCCTGCCACCCCTCTGCCAGCCCTTCAGCTGTGCCAATACAATAGCCTGCGAGGCCGTGCAGTAACCTGAATTGCAGAATTTACCTTGATTAAAAATCATCTGGCATCAACGTAAATAAATATTTAACCCATATTAATTACCATATTAATAACAGTAGCTGTGCCACCTGGAACAAGGATGGGAGGAGCAGTGGGTGAGAAGGACGTGCTGGACACTCAGATCAGCGCTGTTGACACCAGCAACGTTCAATCTGGAGAACCTTTGGCATTTGACCTGCGTCAGACTAACAAAGAGCTGAAACCCCAGATCTCCAGAAATACCTGGGGGCTGATTTCCTATAAGTGTCAGGGTTTTTGTGTTCCTCCCACGGTCAGACTAACAAAGAGCTGAAACCCCAGATCTCCAGAAATACCTGGGGGCCAATTTCCTCTAAGTGTTTTCATGTTCCTCCCACACAAGCAACCAGTTTACTTTGCTGAATCTCTCCCAAGCTCTGCAAGCAGACAAGCTCAGAGGCTGGGAACAAGCCACTGGACTCCCTATAAGTGTCAGGGTTTTTGTGTTCCTCCCACGCAAGCAACCAGTTTACTTTGCTGAATCTCTCCCAAGCTCTGCAAGCAGACAAGCTCAGAGGCTGGGAAGAGGCCACTGAACCTTGGTCTCCAAGGTGATACTCACTACACAAGCTCAGCAGCTCTCAGATGGTCATTCACAAGACTATGGTTAGTCAGAAGCTGGTCAGTGGGTCCTCCAGCCAGTGGCCAACCTACCTTGCTATAGTCCTTTTCAAAGACTTTTCTATAGGATGACGACGACCTCTACTAAATTATGACCGCACTTTTTCAGTGTGAAGGAAGCTGGAGAAGCCAGGACGTGATGGTGGCAGGTGACACAGGGGGATAAGGACCTTGCGTTGGACAGGTGACCTGATGGAAGGCCAGGCTCTGGGATCAATGCCAACTATTTCCAGCACAGAGGCAGGAGAGGAAGGTATTTCCTCTCTAACTGCAGTTCTCAAGGGGAAAGTGAGGAAGATCACATGCCTCAAAGAAACTCCAGAACAAGACAGCATCTTGCAGACCTTCACACCAAGACTCCAGAGCAGTCATTGCACTATGGGTTTTGTCCTGGCTGCATTCCTTCTGCTGGTTCCTTCTGCTTTCCCCTACAACAGCAGAGTAGGGTACCAAGCAGGCTACCAGCCTCACAGCAAGCCCTGCTCCTGCTCAAAGCTACCTGGTGGTCTGCAAGAACATAAAAAGATTTTGGAACAGCTGCACTAGATGATGGTAGAGAAGGAATATTGACTGGGACTGCTGTGGCTATTTCTTAAGTCTTTAGAAAAGAAACATCATGGCAGCTATTTAGTATGGTATTTGAAAATTCAAATATTGACAGAAGGAAGTTTTCCAAAGGATGCCAGCAGCTTTTGCAGCAACCCTGGTAGTAGAAACACACTGCGGCATCAGATGTGGGCTGTAGCACAGACCAAACCCACAAGCCCCACACAAGCAGGAGAACTACCAGCTGAACTACAGCAGTACTTCACCCTTCTGTAAGATGTTTGACTGAGCACTGGAGCAGGGGGTGGTGAGAGTTGGAGGGTGGAAGGGAATGGCTAAAATGCCCCAAAGAACTACAATCTCACTTGCCAAATTCTGCATTTTACTGGGAAAGGGAGAGAGTGACTTCACTTTTTACCTCCCCTTCCCCACTTCCCCTGCCCTAAGCAGACAGATGTGGCTTTGCAAGAAATTAATTACAGATGGAGACTGAAAAAAGGAAAAAAAAAAAAAAAAAGAAACCCTCAACCACAAGGCTTTTTCCTCGGCAGACTTGAGGATGGATGGGGCGACCTGGGAAAACTGGCAGATGGAAAACCCATTACAGATGTGAGGTTTGGAGAATAAGGCTGAGGGACAATTTGAGAGTTGTAAATTTTAAGTTTGGGGGTATAAATGCATTGCTTAGCAACAAAAAACAAATAGGAAACAAGAAGCCTCACGAGAGAGACGCTTAAATATTTTAGAATCCCTACTTGAGGTGAAGACTACATTACCAGAGACCTGAGGGGCTGCTATTCTCAACAGCTAGAGTCAAGACAGAAAGAAAATGAGGACTTTAATCTCATTTCCACACAGAAATATGTTTAACTTATTTTGGGCAAGAAAAATATTTGTTTGTTCCCATACAGGTTTTGCACGGCGCGTACCTGACAAGTTCAGAATACATTCTGTATCTCCAAGCACTTTGCTATCCAGAAAAGATTTCCCATAATGTGTTCAAATATATGCAGGGAAGCTGCTGCTTTACTGGGGTCTACAATCATTGCTACCATATGTCTGACCCTCGCTACATGGTCCAATACCTTTTTATGCTGCTGCATAAATCTTCTCCTAAAATTCCTGACATCTGAAAGGATGGCAGGGGCCTCCATCTCAAGGGAGAGAAGGAGAGGGGTGAAAAAGAACAGATCACCTGGAAATGAATGCTGAATGTTTTACACTGCTTTTTCACCATGAAAAGACAAGGATAAAGGGGAACAACAGCAACAAAAAACCAGACATTACCAGCTTCGGAAGGTCAAATGTTACTGGTTTTGCTTTTTTTGATCCCTTGAAACACTAGAAACAAAGTAAAGTGAAGCCAAGCACAAACGAGCCTGCAACCAAAGCCTCACCTTCTGCAGCAAAACACTAAGGGAACTCATTAAAGATTAAAAAAGAAATTCACGAGAAACCAAAACTCCCTTTAAAAATTCTTTTTCTTCCAAGAGCCTGTAAAAATAGTTCTTTAAATACACACACATATGTGCACACACACATATACACATGCACATGTTTATATACAAAAAATGTAAGCACCAGGTAGTTCTTTGCCTTATTATGGGCTATTAGCCCATGGTATTACCTCTGGGGTATGCTGAATTGGTAGGAGCATGCTCTGATCCTCTCCTGCACTGCTGAACATGACATCATTCCGTTTCTTTCACGAGGGAGGTCCACATTAGTGGAGTTTGGAAATAACCCAGATATTCCCATTTGGTTTTGCTCCTTGAGCTAAAAGGGATGCTCCAGGCTCAGTATTCTCTTTTTGCCTCCCCCCCACCCCCATCTGAAAAAATCACAAACACAAACAAGTAGCTCTTGACATAACTAACACTTGCAACTGTTAAAATCAGTAGGAAAATTTCTTGGCAGCTTAGAACTTCAGGCCAATAAAAACAGCTGTTTGGATATATACTTTAACTTAAAAATTGATAAAAAAATAGAAGTGTAACAGACACAACTTATTTAATCTAATGGCTAGAAACCATGAGAGTAAACAGCACTTAGGGAAAAGGCATTCTGACATGAGGCAAAATAGTTCATCACTTGCACATTTCTCCTAATTGGGAGGACCAGAAGAGTTTTATAATTCTCTAGAAAGGGAAAACAGAACACAGTATCAAAGATGACAGAATATTTTGCCCAGAAATGCATTCAATCGTGGTCTTTGGTGTACCAATGAAACCAGTTCAGGAAAAATAAAATAATCCAGGAAATCTGGATAATGATTACCCTTTACTTCAATACAACATAGAACAAGGAAGGGCTGCCCTGTGTCACTGCCTCCTGTCCTCTTACCTGCCCTGGGATCACATAATTCTTTTAAGGAGTACACTTGGCTTTGTTTGCTGTTCCAAAAAGTTGAGGTAACAACACATAGGTCACCTGAAACGTAAAACGTGAAGAGCTAATGTGATAAACATCAATAAATTTTCAAGATCTATCAGAATGTTACAAGCTAGGGCTACCTTTACAGGTGAGGGAAACATGTTATTTCTATATGGATCCTCAGTGGTTTTATAAGAAGCACTACATCAGCTGAAACTACCAGATGCAAATACCATGAACAAGATTCAAAGAACCGTCTCCAACTGTGGTTAATCTCCCAGCATTAAGAGATGTTCAAAATCCAACTGAAGACCATTTTGCAGGCGTGCTATGGAGACGGTGTAAATCAGAAAACAGTGTCTGCTGCTATATATCTGTACACCTGCCTGAAAGCCAGCACTAAGCCCTTTCTGGATGACAAGGCTTTTGGGAAATGGCTTGATCTTTGGCCAAAAGAGTCATGTAAGAGAAGCTCATACAGGAAAGATTTCACATCGATGGTTCTAGCTCGGCCTGGGACAGAAGCAGGGACCATATGCAGCGGGCTGATGGTAGAAAGGTACTGCTTCAAAAATACATGAGCTCGTGCTCCCCTTTCCCATCTCCCTGTCTAAACCCACGCTGGCAGGACTATCCAAAACTTCATTCCTCCGGTGTCCCTGCAAAAGGTTTTATGCTTTGCAGACTGAAGAAGTGAAGGGGCATCTTTTCAGTCCCGGAATTAAAGAGTAGGTTATTAAATCACCCGTTTCTCATTCTCACATTTCCTATTCTCACATTTCTCATTTACCACAGTAAGTTTTAGGAGAAGGAAATGCCTACTGCAAAAAATTACTTGGTAGATCAGCACCAGCAGATGACCTTAATAAACAGGGCCCCAGCAGCTCCCAGTAGTCTTTATGTTAAAACTATTTGACAAGATGGTAAATACATGCCAGAAACCGATGGTCTCCATCTAAGTGCAGACTCCCCGCTGCTGCTAATGCTAATAACGCCACTCACCCGGGGTAACATTAGCTGGAAAGTTTTACAAAGTTCCCTCAGATAGCCAGGAGTCTAGATTTTCAGGATGAAGGAGGCAGGAAAGCTGGGAATCTTAAAAAAAAAACAACAAAAAAAACCCCAAACCAAAACAGTCCTATGATTTCCTCAATTTTCCTCTCTCCAAAATTCACATGAGTCTTCACTGCACAAACGCAAAGAAGCAAAATAAAACACAAACTCATTATTCCACGTTTGCTGGCTGCTTTTCCTTGTAATGAAGCTTCTTTTTCCATAGTGGTCCCATCACAGGCGCGTTGCAAGGCTGGCCTGCTGCGGCACTGCTGCCCAGCCTGGCTTACGTTTGTTTGGGGTTTTTTTCTTCATTTTAATTTTTTTTTTTTTTAAGAGAGGGGTATAGAGAAGGCATAGGGAGAAGGCATAGCCTCGCTTTATTGGATTCTTTCCTGGATAAGGGTAGAAACTCCTACCAAACCCCACGCGCTTGCGGCCAAGAGCAATTGTTGGCCCCGGCCATATGACACCGGTCACTTGATGCAGGGAATTTAACAAAAGGGAAAAAAAACCAAAAAACAAACCAACCCACAACCCTGGGAGTTTACTCGTGCTCTTGAGTGAAAACAGGCTGCTAAAAATTGCACTCGAATTAAAGAGCATTATAGTGTGGAAACTGAAATTTCATCAGATATTCCACCGGAAAACAGAAGGAGCAGCTTCTCCAAGCGCGAGACAGCGCTGCTGCTCTTGGAGAGCGGGAGGGAGCCAGCAGCCAAGGGGCTGGACAGGCTCACCCAGCCCAACAAGCCTCACTTTTTTTTGGATGCAGCTGAAACTCCCCACTGTTGCTGAAACCCCTGGCTTTGATACGCACTTCACGCAGAGATAGATAGATGAGGGGCAGGAGAGATGAGGGGGAAAGGGAACGCACACAGAGATAGGAAGGGGAAAGGGGCTGCTCTGTTCCCCGAAACCCCTGCCTGCCCCATCCCTCCTGAAAAGGCTCCTTCAGCCAGACCTATCTGTCAGTCCCTCACCTGCCTTTCAAGATTATTGATGCTCTTTGATTTTATTCATTCCCGCTGGAGGTTTTGCTTAAATATAAACAGCCGAGCATTTCAGAAGGAATTAAAAAAAATACAAATAAATAAATAATAAAAAAAAGAAATTCCCCAAACCTCCAGGCACATTTTAAAACACATTAAAAACGACACAACAGTAACAGCTTCATACATACCACAGCTGCAGTGATTTGAAGCAAAAGTAAGGAACATTGAATGTGCTAGTGTTTTGTTTTAAAATAGGACCTATAGACTTCACATTCAGGACAAAATCCTCTACGACACCAAAATCTCCCCTTCTTTCCCCTGAAGGAGAGTGAGAAATTCAGCGATTCCTACTTTTCCCACCTTCCTTTCTGCTCCTCCATCTCCTCCACGTGCTGGGCAGGCTGGACTCTAGGAGACCAGAGGCTTTTGTGAGGTCCCCAGGACTCTGGGAAACACAGGCAGCTTTACATTAGGATTTACAACCAGTAGGTGAAGAACAACTCAAGAGGTGTTTTATTACTTGTGATGAGGGACTATCAAAGAAGCCACAGGGTACTTTGCCAGCCGTTTGGTGTTGTTTCTTTAGGTCTTATTGGCAGCGGTCTTGGTTATTGCTCTATTTTTCTTTCCCCTCCCACTCGCTTATCTTTCATCTTACAGCTTCCAACGTCGACTTAATTGCAACACACTGTATCTTGGAAATTAATCCACAAAAACTCTGAAGGAATTTCAGCTGCTAAAAGAAAAAACAGGCAGCAGCTCAAGCTTCTGACACGCACAGGCCAAGATACTACTCCAGCACTTTATCACAGCACTGGTTGTGCAAACAGAAAATGAAATCCAGGTCCTGAACTCCAGGGCTCCCAGTAATCCCGAGCCAAGGACACTCAGCTCAGTAGCACCTCTTTTTGATGGTGCCCTGCCAGCACACAGGCTACAGTGAGACGAAACAGGAACCAGAGATGGGACCCTTTAGTTCACCAACCCACAATCAAGAAGCTCCCCTGGTAAAAGACAAGGATGGACACAAACCTGTGAGCTGTGTTCCTTTTTAACCTTAATCCAGATGCTTTTCTATTCCCTCTGTTCAGAAAAGGAGCATACTGCCTTCGCCTGAAGTCAGCTCTGCAAGTCTCTTGAGCTACCAGTAAAGGCAGAAGGCAATCTTTTGCACAGATTTTGACATTTTTATTTTCTGGTTTGAAACACACCTAAAGGACGAACAGCTTTTCTTTAGTAAGTACAGGGCTTTAACAACACGACCCACCTTGCAATGAACAGTAATGTCTTGGTTTCTTGACTCTTTTGACACGAAGAATGGAACCAGATAACCAGCCAAGCAGCATGTGGAAACTATATGTATTTACTGTATTTCTGGCACTTTTAGCATTTCTCAAATACTGCTCGAAGCAGAAGCTCAGACTTGCACTGTGAGCGGCACGTGTACCACCTCTCTGAAAGACAAAGCAATTTGCCCATTTAAGAAATGTAGGGGAATTGTCTACTGACACTCATTTGCGCTGCGTGCAAATAAAGGGGCACAAACCAGGGCAGTTGTGTTTTACAGCACCACAAATGTCCATAGAGATGGACTAGCTGCCTGTGGAACTTAAACAAAAAATGACGAGAGAGAAGTGGGAGACGCTTTTAATCTATGCTGGAGGATTTCGAACCAAATAAACCTCTATTAATCTTTTCTGGCTTGTATGTACAGATGTTTTACTTTTTGTAACACTTTTTCAAGTTAGACCCAGATGTTGTAAGTCAAGCTGTAATGCTCATTAAATAATAATAATAAAAAAAGCCAGCATTTATTCCACCCCTTCAGCATTCAAAGCTGTTCAGCAGGGCAGAGCACCCACCCTCTGCAGAGAGCACAGATGGCACACTTTGACCCTGGCAACTACACACAGTTCAAGCAGTGGATCTCTTTGTAAACGGCTCCTCCTCAAGCCAAGACAGACTTCCAGACTGGAACGGGAGCTACTGGTGTACATAAAATGCACCCACTTTCTGTGCTGACAATAACCACAAGTATTGGACCACATATGTAGTTCTTTTTAGAACCAGATATTTAATGTTGGTTTTTTTTTTTCTCTCCGTTGAGAGCTACCAATGGATACCAAAACTGAATTTTAAAAGTACTAACAAATTTTTTTTTTTTTGGTAAATTCTATTTTTGCCAAGAATCATTCATGTTTATGTCCCACAGATTACACTGCAGAGACAGTTCAATTCTATAGACTGCTCTGTAAATGACCAGTTAAACCCAAGCAAACATTCACCTTGATTCTCCAATCCCACCATTACTCTTCTATTTACTCCTGTTTATTTTCTGTTTTGCAATGCCTCTCCTTGGCCTTACAACCATATTAACTCACTACTCCAATCCCTTCTATTACCAAATTGTTTAAAAGAAATACCTATGGCTTTTATGTAATAAAGTATGAAAAACCCCAAAAGATAGAAAACTGCAGTCCAGTGTAAATCCTGATGGGACATTGATAATAAATGAACCTTATTCATGACAGACAAAGTAAAAATCCTCATTTAACACACCAAATAATTTACCTTTAGCCAGAAAGACACTCAGTCTGACATTCAAACAGCCGTCTTTGTACGTACAGAGAAGCTGCCAAGTCTCCATACTTGAATGATCTCATAGACTCTGGAAAAAAAAAAAAAAAGAAAAACAAAACATTTTACCATACTAGCTGAATACACAGGGGCATAAAAGGATCAACTTTAAAGCATTTTAGTGGTTTAGGTCCTAGTACAGATCTGTAGATGAGCTTTGGGAAAAATTATGACCACAAAGTCACAGAAAATTAAAAGACCTAAGCAAACCTCCTTGAAGTTTTCTCGCCTGCAATGGTGTTACCAATAAAGAATGATCACCCCTAAATCTCTATTGCTGTTCTCTCCCCTACTCATACCAAGCATAACTCGTTTCACAAAAAAATAAAAGGTACATAACAAATTATAACCACTGTTGGAGAAGTTAAAGTGTAAAGGCAGCAATGTTTTTCTCTGCATCATGAGAGAAAGGTGATCAGTTTTCATCTATGATGCCTTTCTCTTTTGGTGTCAGTGAGGCATCGCTTAGTTAGAAGGGAAAAGAGGACAGGGGGACGAGATGGATACAAACAAACAAGAGGACATTGATCTGTGTGCTGCTACCTGGGAGAAATATCTGTGTGCAACCCAGTTGGCTTGGGCTTAGTACTGAGCACAGATAGCTACTGAGCTCAGCTTGGTTCCCAGCTGTGTACACTGGACCTGATCCTCTACTTGGGTAAATTTCCGTAGTTCAATTAGGCTGTGAACGATGACAATTTTACCAGCTGGAGACCGGCTACATTTGGGGTTTCTAAAAACACTGCGGCACCTTTCATCATGCAACTGCAGATGAGGAACCGACTTTGAAAGAGCACAGGAGGTAGGGCTTACCCTGCTCCGATGAGACAAAGGCAAGCAGAACTCTGAGGTTTAAACAGCAACTGATAGATTTCTCTTTTGCCAGTTGCTAGGTCAGGATGGGTTGAATTTCCAAATGTGCCACATACTCAAACTCCCAGTTGACAAGAGAGACTCAAACAGTCCATTATGCCACTGAAAATTATGTGCCTTGAAGTGTTAAGCCAGGCACCAAATATGCATAACCAATCTTAAAAAAAAAAAACAAACAACACAAACAGGCATAAGTCACTTGCTTTGCCTGACACAGCGCATAAACTGCACAACATGGAGAAACAGCAGGGAGCTTTGTGGAGAGATAACGTGAATTCTCGTGAAGCCTCACATACCATTATCTACAGCTTAAATTCACGTTTCACCGTCCTGTTTCACTGCTGCTCTTCCTAAAGGAGGAAAGCAACACCAGATGCAAGAACCAACTCTGCCTCGGCACCCCTCAGCTCCATCCCAGCCTCTCTGAGCTGCCAAGTCTCCCACGTTTTGTAAGATTCATCTGTACGGCCCAATCGACACCGATACTGCCACTTTTTTTTTTTTAAATTTTATTTTATTTGAACACGCAGTGAATAAACTCAGCTCTACCCTCAGCTCCATCCCAGCCTCTCTGAGCTGCCAAGTCTCCCACGTTTTGTAAGATTCATCTGTACGGCCCAATCGACACCGATACTGCCACTTCTTTTTTTTTTTTTAAATTTTCTTTTATTTGAACATGCAGCGAAGAACCTCAGCTCTCTTTGCCTACGTGTGGGGACTAACCAGTGCAGCCATGTATGCCTGGACCAAGCCGTGCTGGGCTATCGTGCCCTGCTGCACACCTGCAGGTAGTTCACACTCAGCGCACAGCTCTGGAATCTCTCTCTCTAGTCCTCTCCGCATAAATCAAGCAGCAGGGAGGCTCAGAAACATGACGAATACGTTGGCTAGAATATCTCCTGCTGTAAAGACACAGGGAGGAAGGGGGGGATACTAAACTAACCTTGCCTTGGATGGAAAAGCAGCTGAAATTTAATGTTCTTGGAAGCCAGCCCTGGCTGTTCAGACGTGGATCTGCCAGGGAAGTCCCCAGCGGAGGCATTGCTCATTCTCCAAAACTAAAATGTCAAGAAAAAGCACTGGAAATCATTAAGCACTCCGTTCAACATTTCTTGAACAACCTCAGGCAGGGGGGCAGGGGAAAAAGAAAAAAAAGCCTCTCAACCACAAACAAAACAGAAACAAATTCTCAGGGTTAATACAAAACAGAGAGGGGGATCATCAAGAATCTGAAATGGGATTTTGCTTAATCGTGTCAATCTGAAATGACACAATATCAACCCAGCCTTAAAAAAAAAAAATTGACAAGAAGGAAGAGAGCAGAAAGCAAAAAAATAAGGAAAGAATAAATAACCAGAGCTGTGTTTGGCCTGGGTTTTCTGGGAGTTCACTAGTACAACACACCTTGTGTGACTGCCCCTGCACCACCCGCGAGTGGCAAGCTGTGCTTGCTCACCATGAACCCAAAGTGGAAGAGAAATGGTGATCAAATAAAGGCAGCAAAGAAAGCCTTCCCCTGGAGAAGAGCTCACAGATCCTGCAAAAGCTACATCTCACTGGCACAAATCCCATTTGGAAGTATGTCACTACTTTTCCTAGAGTTCAAATTAAGAAGAAAAATCTACTTTTCCTAGAGTTCAAATTAAGAAGAAGAAAAAAAAAAAAAAAGACGGTCATTTTGCCATCTGCTACAAAAGTGCAGCTCTAGAAAAAGTGTGTGTGACAGTTTTAATCCTATACCAATTCAGAGACACATACCAACTGGGTATTATGGAAATACATTTCTGGAGTTGAGTTCATACTTCCCAGCCTTCCAGGGTGAGGGAAGCTTTTCTCACAGATGTGCCTCTCCTCCAAACACTTCACTAGGGAGATACCTTCAAAATCACTGACAGAATGGCATAACCAGTACTGAATTTCGATGCCGTGCTATGGGAACCACCACCTTTCAGTAGAAACATAAACGACTAAGTCATGCCCATTGAAATAACTAAAAACCCATTGGCCATTTTTGCAAAAACAGAGGAAAAATTGCTAAGTGGCAAGTTAAATTGTATAGGGTTTTCTCAGCTTGATGACAGAAAGATTTGTACAACCTAACAAAATAAGGTTCTGTGTTTTATGAGTTCAGTAAACTGGTTGCCTAATGTTGGCTGATCCAATAGGTGGCAGAAACAATTTCTCTTTTTCTGTACAATCTGTAAATCATTTGGCAATCCCTTTTGGATGAAAGCTATATCAAGAAAAAAAAAATTTAAAAAATCACATTTGTATTCAACTGAAGTGTGAAATTCCCAGGAATCAACTGAGAAAGTGCTCCATATTAGCTAACTTGGATTCCTCCCCCCAGTTAGGATTAGTAACATTTCTTACAATGCTGGAAAACACAGGTAACAACATTTTCCTGAATGATCTTAGTGAACATCATTGCACGTTGGCAAAGCATTTAGTCTCACGGCAACAGAAAAATGGGCTTTATCCTATTCCCTGAATGCCTGGAAAGATCCTGCCTAAGGAGGTGCTACAGGCCAGATGGAAGGGGTAGGCTTTGAAAGGGCGAGAAGAAGAGTGCCTCTGCCCAACACTCTGCTGAAAATCTCCTAAAGGCAGAGCACAAGGCGTACGTGAATCCAGTAGCTGCTACCATGGAGCATGGGATGGGGACCAAAAGGATCCCCCAGCAGCAGTCCTGAGGGCAGCTGGCACAGCCACACGACTCCTTCGAGGGCTGGGAAAGGGAACAAGAGGAGCAGAAGTTTAAGATACGAGAGAGGATTTCCTGAATTTGTTTATACACATGTATTAATGGACACGTCCCAGCAGAAAAGATAGGTACTGCTTTAAAAAAAAAAAAAAAAGAAAAACAACAAAATGAGAAATAGCCTTTGTGCATTGGGCTGAGATACCTCTTCCCAGAACAGGCTTCCAAGCAGAAACAAACCACATTTATTCTAATATCTAGCAGTGTACACTGGATTTAAATTGACAGAATTAAAAATTTAAAAAAAGGTTTTATCCTCCCACAAGCTGACTGGTATAGCAATTTTCATCTAAAGCAGCAGCAGATCACCAAGACAAACATATTCACAGGGATTTCCTGTCAAAAGTCACTCTAATACAAACATATTTTTACTGGGAGAAAATAAAGCTCACTAGTGACATCAGCAGAACGCTATTCCCATTTAAAATGAGAAGCGTGGCAACTTTGGTTTTAATGGAAATTAAAGTGTGCTGGCACTGTCAACTAACTGTAAAGCCACTTGAGGGTTTTGTTTAATTTTTAATTTAAAAAAAATGATACTTCAGGACAGGACACACTGTCAGTACTTTCACAGATCCAATCCCACTTTCCATGTGCGCTAATGGAACCCCTTACAGTTCTCAATTCACATGACTTAAATTTGGGTTACCACAAGAAATGGGATATGACTTCAAATCTTTAGCCTGATCTTTCAGGGAAAATTAAAAGAACATTTTTCCGTAGCTTGTAATTACTTACGTACAGAATATCTGTTTCTCTGTTGTTCTGATTAATCTTCTAATACTCACAAAGGGACCAGAGTCCATCTTCAGAGAAGTTACATCAGTTAAACTTGCACTCTCAGAGTAGCTGACAGAGTAGCCGCAATTTAAATTAAGATAAACAAAGGCTCACAGGTATTTGAAACCTCAAATTCTTTGATGCTCAGACATCACAACTTAATTTTCATCTTACAAACTTGAATTTCAATAGAAGGCAAAAACCTAAGGCTTCTAGGCTACCCTGTGAGCTCTCAGAAAGTGGCAGATTTCAGTAAGAGTTGCACCATTCTAGCCAGGTGTACTTGTCCCTACAGTACAATTGGACTCAAATGAGTATGTTGTACTGCTTACAAACTAGAACTAATAGGATATTTTAAGAAGTACCTTTAGCAGATGACAATTCCTTCAATATTTAACAGTCTCTGAGACTGCTTGTAAGAGACCACAGCCCAGAAGAGACTTCCTAAATTGCTAAGTGCTGTCACGTGGCACTACAGGCACGTTAGTAGTAGTAGGTAGTAGTACAATTTCTTTCATGATCTGATTAATCACACACCACACACACAACCCAAACCTCCTTCCCTCCTTCCTTGCTCCCCACTGTTCCTTTGAGAAGTTGTAACAGAAACTTTCCCTCCTTGATGGTGTGAAACCTATATTTCATTTATAGCCAGTTTGCGCATGTTTGCTCATGTGACAATCTCCTCTTGCTTTAGATGTTTCTTTTCCATTTCTTGTGTTGCAGGATATGAGTAAAGAGCCTCTCCAAGGGAATTCACAACGTGGGAATAATGCATTTTTGAAATACTAAAGAGAATTAGGAAGCGGGTTTAAAACAGTAACATAACCTTAAAATATGGAGTGTTGGGTGCCTAAATAGCTCTTTAATTAAAATTCGTCTAGTTACCAACATTCAAAACATCACTGACTTAATCCAATTTGCTATTTCCTTGCCAGCAGCATATTTCTATTTTAATCTAACTGCCTATTACATTTTCATTGAGTATCCTTGACACTGAAGGAACCATTACTAGGTTGATATCATCAGAGCATTCAATGTCATTATCTATGTAGAAATGACAGGCAGAACAATATATCAAAAAGAACTCATACTTAACTGAAGGACTCGAAGAGCTCAAAGTGAACGAGTCCGATGCATCACAAAAGCCTCCGCTGGAAGCTCTTCATACAGGCACAGCAGGAGAAAAAAAACCTCACTGTATTTTGTTGTTTACATTCAGCGCTGAAAAAGAAGTACTTCAAGGATCAAAAGGCAACACAAAGCACCAAGTTATAGAAAATAATAAATATAAGCTTGCCGGATTTGCTAACTCCTTTTATGCTTGAAAAAGGACGATAATATGGGGGTGAATTACGAGGTTTGCGTACTTTCTTCTTTATACTTGGACCTAACCACTAATTTTTTCCTTATCTTTTTAATTTGAAGAAACTACTTTACTCATATTTTCCTCAGCCACTTTTATGCAAACAAAATGGGAAGGGGACCAATGGCTTACCCCTTCTGAGACTGGCGGGAGACCTAACAGGAGCAGCCGGCTCTCTCA